AAAAAAATCTTTAATTGCAAGCTTTTGGGCACAAACACCCCGTCTTCAGGCATAGGAGAAAAGGTTGCAAAAGTTCTCTGAGAAAGAAGTAACTTGAAAAGAATCACAATCCTGCTGAAAAACTCTGTAGGTATTGTAGGCACAAGCATCAAAGCTAGCAAAAAAAATTGATTAGAGAATAATCTTCCTTTCTATTTTTTTAAGTTTGCCTACTTTATACATCTGGCAAAATTGTTTAGTCTAATCAGCTCAACTGTGTAATCTGTTAGAAGGGTTTTTTTTCTTTACTAAAAAGAAAGACTCAAGGAATCAACAGGGAACAAACTCCCCATATGCATATGACATTTAAAGATTTTTTCCTAATTCAAGAAATGCTATGTAAAGTGGGCTTCCTCAGAAAATGACAGCACTATCCCTTTTAGTCATTGTAACTAATTTCTTCTAACTGTTATCTGATCTGTTTGCTTATTTGTAGAATGAACTCTTGCTGTTTTATTCCTTTTCATTCTGCATTTTACTTGTCCGTTTAATAGTAAAGTTGAAATGCTAAAGGGACTCTTTTGACTAGTGACATCTGGGTATACCAGAGACTTCATCTTCCAACTAAAAGCATTGATCCAGAAGACAAGTTCCTAACTATATAAATGTTCCATACTATCAGAAAGATTTTTCCTTCATACTGACATCTTTCAATATAGAGTCTATGTTCCACTCAGGTGGGTAGGAAAGGGGCACAGTTGTGACCCCACCTCCAGGTATTCAGTGACACCCACCCGCTTCTACTGCATAGAGAAGCAGCCTTTCTTGGTGTCCTCAGGCCATCATGCAAAACAATTCAACTCCATCTGATGGGGAATAAATAGGGGTAGAAGAGGGAAGAAGGGAGTAGATTACCCTCCTTCCTTGTACATTACCAGCTCGGCATATCCCCCAGCACCACAGCTGCTCAATACCAAGCTCAGCAGGACACAGGCTGCCAGAGTCATCTTCAGTGGCAGAAACAATGTGACCTCTGCAATCAAGTTGAAATTCCCCTCTGCTCCTTCCTGTCCTTTCTCAGAACAACTAACTGCAAGTCAAAGTGCTGCACTCATTGCTTTAATTTCCTCTTTGCCTTCCTCCCAGACAATTTATAACTCAGTCTTTCCCCACCCACTGCCCAAGATACAGGCCTGAAAGCAGTGCAAGGGAAAAAAATCATGAGCTTTGGCTCAAAGCCAATAAATAATGTACACACTGAAACCTAGAGGGCAAAGCAGTGTGAATGGTAAAGAATGATAGCTGGATGTCTCCCTCTGGGGATCACCCTTCACTAGAAGCAAGTACCCTTCCACTCTGAGAAACAGCTCATGTCAAGTAATGAGTTACATGGGACACCTGCATTTTTAGCTTTAAGCTTTGCCCCACCTTGCTCTATGAAATTTAGAGCTTCTTGTATTCACAGAAGTAGAGTGAAGAAGTCAAAAATAGTGACCAAATCCTAAAGCTTTAGTTTTGGCCAAGGGGGATGACCTGATGAGTAATCTGATGATAGAGGGTAACCTAGGCAACAGTGACCATGACACTATCACTTTCACTGTCCATCATCTGTCAGTAAGGTACACATTCTTGACTTTAAAATAGCTGACTTCAGTAAGCTAAGGACTTCAGTGAGTAATGCCCTATGGGATCATGGACCACAGGGAAAGAGTATGGATGAAGAGTGGTCATTCCTCAAGGACATAATCCTCGGTGCACAAAAGTTGTCCATACCGGTATGCAAAAAAGGTGGCACAGAGGCCAGAAGCCCATCTTGGCTCAATAGGGAAGCTGCAGATCTTCTGAAAAAGAAAAGGGAGGCTTACCAATGATGGAAGCTAGGAATAGGCCCCAAGGAGAACTACATAAGCTTGGCCCACACCTGTAAGGGGAAGATTAGAAAAGCAAAGGCGGTGCCTGAATTCAGGTTAGCAACCAAAATCAAGGACAATAAGAAGTCCTTCTATAGGTACATAGGTAGCAGAAGGAAAACCAGCGGAAATGTGGGACCACTGCTTAATGCATCTGGACATCTGATCACTGACACCAAGGAGAAAACTGAACTCCTGAACAAGTACTTTGCATCTGTATTCCACCAGTCTAAGAGTGATAGCCTGCCATATGCAAATATGACACAGAATATTCACAGTAGGGATGATCACCTACCAACAGGCAATGGAGAGCTGGTGAAAGAAGAGCTAGGGAGGCTGGATACCTATAAGTCAGCAGGACCAAATGAACTCCATCTGAGAGTGCTGAATGAACTAGCCAAAGTCATCACAGGACCGCTGATGAACTTTGAGAATCCATGGTGCACAGGCAAGGTCTCAGAAGGCTAGAAAAGGGCCAATGTTGTGCTTCAAGAAAGGGAGGAGAAAGGACCCAGGGAACAATAGGCCAATCCGCCTAACCTCAACCCCAAATCTGGAAAAGTTTCTTATGGAGTCCATATGCGATAAGGTAGCAGAAGGCAAAATTCTGAATGACAGCCATCACAGTTTTGTTGTGGGTAGGTTATGTCTGACTAACCTCATCTTCTACGACCAGGTTACTCACCATCTGGATAAGGGAGATGAGGTCAATGTCATTTACTTGGACTTTAGGAAGGCCTTTGCCTTGGTGTCCCATGAGGCTCTCAAGGTAAAACTAGGGGACTATGGGCTCAACAATTCAACAGTCAAATGGGTGGGAAACTGGCTTTGGGGTTGGACCCAGAGACTACTAATAAACAGGTCTGTGTCAACCTGGAGGAAGGTAGCCAGTGAGGTCCCTCAGGGTTCGGTACTTGGACCAGTGGTTTTCAACAACTTCATCAGTGATCTGGATATGGGGGTGAAAAGCACGCTGGCAAAGTTCACCAATGATACTAATCTGTGGGGAAGTGTGGCCATGCATCAGGGTAGGCTGACAATCCAGGCGGACCTAGACAGATTAGTTAGATGGGCAGTCCAAAACCAGATGCTGTTCAACCCTGAGAAGTGTAAAGTGCTCCATCTTGGGAGGAAAAATCCACAACAAACTTACGGGCTTGGTGGTGCTACACTAGCTAGCGCCACTTCTGAAAGGGACCTGGGGTCATAACTGACCATAAAATTAATATGAGCTACCTATGTGATGCTACAATCCACTGGCATGCATCAGCTGATGCATCTCAAGCAAAACTATGGAAGTTATTCTCCCACTCTACTCTGCGTTGGTGATGCCACAGCTGGAGCACTGCATCCAGTTCTGGGTGCCAAATTTCAAGAAGGATGTGGAGAAGCTTGAGACAGTCCAGAGAAGAGCCACTCATATGATTAGAGGCCTTCAGAGCAAGCCGTGTGAGGAAAGGCTGACAGATATGGGACTGTTCAGCCTAGAAAAGAGAAGACTTCGGGGGATTTGGTGGTAGCTTACAAATATATAAGGGAGGGCATCAGGGGCTAGGCAAACAACTATTCACCAAAGCGCCTCAGGCGAAAACCAGGAGCAATGTTCATAAACTCCTAGAAGGTTCCAGATGGGATAAGGAAAAACATCTTCACAGTTTATGTGACCAGACTCAGGAATAGACTCCCAGCAGGGGTGGTGCAGGCACCTACCCTGGAGATCTTCAAAAGGAGACTGGACACACACCTTGCTGGGCTTATTTGACTTCAGCAGTCTTTACTGCCTAGAGCAGGGGAGCTGGACCCGATGATCTCACAAGGTCACTTCCAGCCATAAACTTCTGTGAATCCTCTTTCACAACCACATTATGCACACAAAACTACTACTCCTAACAAAAAACTTAACATCAGGTCAAAATGGTTTTATTCCCCTATGGACACATAAAAGTAATTTTCACTAATATCAACAGTTTTATTTGCAGTAATGCCACAATACAGGCAAGTGTACTCTGTCAGCCAGTGGCTCAGCTAGTCTAAATCAATAGGACTAATGAAGTCAACATACCTTTCTCCCTGAACTTATGAAACATTCACAGAAAATATGAATACACATGCACAACAAATCTCTGTTTCTAAAAGAACTACTGCTAGACAGAGTTTGTCCAGAGTTTGGACCTACGTGCAATATGTCAATATGTTAGTCATTGACCTACGTGCAATATGTCAATATGTTAGTCATTCTAACAGTGCCTTTTGCATAAGAATGCAAGCTCATGATTGGACCACCCAAAAATACAATATAGTAGTTAATCCCATCTCCAGCTTTTGGCACAGAGTACACCCCATATCTAACTACCCTAAATCAATTATGAATAGGTTTCCCTTTCAAAGTGATTTTCTCTCCTTTGTTACCACATTCCTCAGTAATCTAGGCACCTATGCTGGTTGGCAAATATTGTGTGATCTGCCCTGCTGTAACAATGATCTATATAGTGCCTCACAATTCATGGTTTACGGTGTTTGATTTGATTAATCAAGCCCTACTGCAATTAATTAAATGGTAAACCTCTGGAATGATCAAGGGTTTTGTGCATGTCAATTTCACCAACAACCAGGTATGGACCTGAAAGGTTAATATCTACAATACAATCAAAGACAATGACTCTCCACCCTGTTGGCTTCTAGAATATCATAGGTGGTTAGATTTTATAGGTGAATGTTATGTAATTGCTTTTATAGTGCTGGTGACGGGGAGAGTCAGAGGCCACCCGCAACATCAGCCTGCCCACCTGTCTAGAGCAGTCTGCCCTGTCTCACCCGCCATGACTTGATATATACCGTAAATAACCAGTGTAAAATACAGGAGGCTACCCATTTTATGCCCTGATGCCAAGGGCATTATACACAGCTCTGACCTCCGTTATACCATGTCCCATGCCTTGCAGATGGTATCCAGAGTAAAAACTATGCCTCAGGCCTCCTCATACGTATCTGGGCCTCCTGCACTCTCACTACCTCACTGCACTCCTCCAATCACACCCTTTCACTAGGGCCTCCAACTTATGCCATCTCCATTAGGGCTTCACATTCAGGCCCTTTTCACTAGGGCCTCAACTCCTGCTACTCCAGTCAGCCCATGTCCAGTCCTTCAGGCTCCCTCAGCCCTATTCTACGTGGCTGCTGCCACTCCAGTCGGCCCATGTGCAGCCCTTCAGGACCTATAAGGCCCTACTCTACATGGCCACCAGTTCCTACACTACCCCCTCACAGGGGGTATGGGGCCTTGCACTCCGTGGGTCTCAGGTGTCCACAGATGTGCCTGTACCCCACTCATGGCCTAATCACCCACTCAGGCCTCAGATGTCTGAAGACAACCTGGACCCTTCTCCAGGCCCCACACTATGGGCCTGGGTCCCACCTCATGCCCCACTCAGTGGGCCTGGGCCCCTGTGCTTTTCTCTCAGAGTGTGCTCCCCTAGCCTTTCTCCTCCAAGGGGTAACTCACAAGGCAGCAGGAGCTGAAGCTTTCTGGCACCCCATAGTCACCCTTCACTGGGGAGGTACAGGTGTGGCATTTCCTTGAAGCTGCCCTGCCAAAAGTAGCCCCACCACACCATCCAGCCCCAGCAGGGTATAGTTTTAGGTCATTCTCCAGGACCAGGAACCTCCTGCCATCCCCAAAGTTCCTGCCTTGTACAACACTTCCATTGATAGAAAAGCCTTTCTGCTAAATATCAACTGAAGTGTCATGTCAATCCTTTTAAAGCACTAAGTATCCCATTTCATATGCAACAAATACTTCGTGGGGGGGGCCGGGTTCAGCTCCATAAAAGTAATTACATAACAAAAATCATCTATAAAATCTAACCACATATGATATTTCAGTAACAACGTAAAATATTACTGAACATAAAGCATATTATGTTGGTATCTATCAAACTAGGAAGTTTTCATTAATTTCCTATTGTTTAAGATACAGTGGGGAAAAAACCCAAAACCAAACAAACCAACCCTTAAGTAGATCATCCATTTCTTATTAGCTAGTTCCTCTGTACCTCATCCTAGCTTCTTACCATCATCCTCCATAGTTATTATTTTTAATTAATCGGAACTTCATAGCGATAAGAAATACCACTTATTTTACAATTTTTCTTGCCATTTTTAGTTTATTTTTAATATTATTTTTCTGGTATTGTGCAAAACTAAGTTTTTCATAATGATTTTCCCTTATAGTCATTGGTATGAAAAGTAAAAATTAGATTTTACAATACATAGAGGTCCTGGTTCTTTTCTCACACTACTGCAAAATCAGCTGTAATTCTTGTGAAACAAGTTATTTCAGTGTAAAACTGGTGACTCAGAAAACATTAGTCCCCGTTTCCACTTGAACGTTACCCACAAGTTGGGTGTGACAGTTTGTTATATAACCACCATGATACAAAGTTTGCTAACTGCTCTGACTACTAAATCCGGTAGGTTATAAAGTAGAGGATGAAAAATATAGTTTAAAATTTCTTCAAAGTCCACAGTTATCTGGTTTTGTAGTCTTATACTGTGGTAACCCCAGGAGTTCTATCTTCTGATGTATCATGTTTAAAAAAACCCAACAAAACAAACAAAAAAACCCAAGCCAGGCAGCAATTCAGACTATACAAGCTAAAAATCAGCATGTTGCTAGGGAACTAATAGCAGCACTACTGTCCTGAGGTTGGGTCTAAAGCTAGTGTGGTAGTAGCTGCTATTATTTACAAATGTTGTCTCGCCTCTGTTTGCTTTAATGTGTACTTTGAAATGAATGGAGATTGCCACACTTATTTTTACATGCAGAAATTCTCACAAATATTTAGGAAAAACCTCATGGGCTAAATTTGGATCTGTTATTCAGAAAGAAGTCCCCAAGG